CTTATTCATTCATTCATTCATTCATTCATTCATTCATTCATTCAGTTCCAACAACCCTGGGAAGCAGGTGCTACTATTATCCCCATTATGTAACTTGCCTCTTGTCACACAGCCAACATTCCAGGGCTGGTTTTGAACCTAAGTTTTCCAGATTCCAAGTTCACTACTCTATTCCCCATTTAAAAAAAATACGAAACCCTATCTAACTAAATCCACAGAAACTTATGATCATATGGGGGAAAAGCTGATGCATTTTTCAGCCATAGCAGCTCCCAAAGACCTCTAACAAAAACTGTCTGGTCCATAGTAGGGCAATAGATAGAATCTTGGACCTGGAGTTAGGAAGACCCAAGTTCAAATTTTGCCTTGTCAGATATTTAATGCGTGAGGCTGAGCAAGTGAATTTCTCTGAGCCTCAGTTTCCTCATCTGTCAAACTAGGATAATAATCACACCTACCTCACATAGTTGTAGTGAAAATCAAGTTGAAAGAATATGTAAAGCATTTTAAAAAACCTTAAAAGAATACTTAAAGGCTAGTTATTAGCATCATCAACATAAGGGCAGCTATCTCACAGGCCGCTGGAAAGATCAAATAAGATTATACTTACTAAATACTCTGCAAAGCTTAAAGAATTACATAAATACTAGCTGCTGTTATTACTGTTATTATTATTATTATTATTGAAAAAAATCACAGAGACATGAAGTATTGAAGGAGGCTGGATCCCCCATATTAGCCTGGTTTCATCACCAGATATTTCACCAGCTTTCTCAAGCAAGGCTTCAGATCCTCTCCAAGTACAACCACCAGGGCCCATTTCCTGGCAGAACAAAAGAACACAGAAGACTGGCTGCACCCCACGTTAACTCCATGCCTTATGGGAGGTCCCCCATTCCCCAAAGAGGGCAAACACACAAACCTGCCCCTCTAAGAGCCAAGGGACGGGTGCAGAAGATCCCAAGCCTGATCGCCCCAGGGCAGGGAGGATTGGCAGCAGAAGCACTGCAGAGTCCAAGACCAAAGCAGTGAGTTGAGAAAAATAATTCTATTTATAACAAATGGACTTGAGGGATGGTGGGGAGCAGTTAAGCCATTCGGGCATTTGAACTATTTAAATTTGTGTAACAGACACCCAGAAGCTTTGTGATAGTTGCTCAATAATTAAATGAATAAGACGCTTAGAGCTTTACATAAATATCATCAGTTCTAAAGTGGGCAGAAAAAGGAGGGGAGAGTCACTCGAAGGTTGTCTAGACTCATCTAGCGCTTTCTTTCAAGTTTGGGGGGAACTGTTCCAGGATTTTCCAGCATCCCATCCTTCATGACTCTGAGGACCTAATTCTATTAAAGTATAATTAATCCTCTCAGCATGAAAATGTTCAATTCTTCTTGGGGAGAAATCACTACTTCCTGCTGGTGTCATTCTCTGGGGATACTGAGTCACATTAATGAAGAGCAGTGACAAATTCCTATTACAGAAGTGGGCCACCTACCCCTTTCATCATTTATTTTTTTTGAATACAGAGGGAGGTGGACCAGATAAGTCATTTAGAGCAGTGCCAGCCCTCCGAGATGACCTTTCATTCCATTTACATTGTATATATCCCCACACAGGCAACTTTCTGTGTTTGGTCTCCCCAGTTAGACTATGAGCTCCCGGAGGGCAGCGGCTGGCTCAATTTTTGCAGTCTTTTTATTCCCCAGAGCATAGCACTAGCCTGGCACACAACAGGCTCTCACTGACACACAACCGTCCAGAGTCCCAGTCAACTCTCAAAGACGGTAAATTACTGAGTAGGTGCCAAGACCAATAAATAGTGGAAACTTCTTCAAGAGGAATGAATTAAAACTACTGATCCATTTTTAAAAAATGCGTATTTTCAAAAGTCCTGTGGAAATATTACCTTATATAACATTTTACAAAGCACATTCTTCCCAAGAAAACAGTGAGGAGTAATGCCCCAGGTGTTATCCCTCTCTTTACAAAGAAAAAGCTGAGGTGCAGGGAGGTAAGTCTATTATTGATGTGACTTTTGAGGTTTGCAAAATCTTCACAAAAATCCTGAGGCAGATGCTACTATTATCCCCATTTTAGCAGAAGACAAAACTAAGGCTGAGAATTTCAGTGATTTGCCCAGGGTCACACTGCTAGTAAGTGATATTCAGTTCATACCTAGCTTTTCTTATTCATAGTTCAATGCTCTTTCCAAAGGAGGCAAGGAGGGAAGACCATGATGCCTCTGGAAAACTTAACTTTTACAAACCAAAACCACGGGAGAAATCTCTTTTCCCACTTCACTCTTAAACTGGATAGATTTCTTTAAAAAATGAGGAAAACTACCAGTCTTTCAGTTCTCCAAATGTGCTCCCACCCTGATTATAAAGAATATACACAGTGTTAGGGGATACAGAGGAAATAGAAGGCTCTTCCTTGACCAGTAAGAGAGCCCAATGGAAAGAAGGGGAAAGTGCTGACCCAATGGCAGCATTTTATATCCTTTCAGTATGTTATCAGTCAGCATTGCTAAAACTTGTACGGCAGCTAAACGACGAAATGGATAGAATGCTGGGCCTGGAGTCAGAAAGACCTGAGTTCAAATCTGGCCTCAGACACTTCTCAGCTGTGTGACCCTGGGCAAGTCACTTAATCCTGTCTGCCTCAGTTTCTTTATCTGTAAAATGAGCTAGAGAAGGAAATGGCAAACCATTCACTCCAGTATCTTTACCAAGAAAACCCCAAATGGGGTCACAGTCAGACATTACTGAACAACAGCAAACAAAATGCTAAATTATTTTCCCATTCTGGAAACATACAGAGCACAATATGCCAATTGTGAATATACCCATTAAAAACAAAATCACCTGCCTACCTAAAACTGGGCAGGTGTATTTGGTTGTTTTGTCTTTTAGCCCATATAAAGCCAGCATTATTAACAGCCAATCTTTAAATGTCCCTATTCCCTTCTACAGTTTCAAGTATTCTACACAAATCATTTGGAACTTTCTTGTGTGTTTTTTTTGTTTGTTTGTTTGCTTTTTTGGCTAGGCAATGGGGTTAAGTGACTTGCCCAGGGTCACACAGCTAGTAAGTGTTATGTGTCTGAGGTCGAATTTGAACTCAAGTCCTCCTGAATCCAGGGCCAGTACTCTATCCACTGTGCCACCTCGATGCCCCTGGAACTTTCTTTACATTAGGCCTAGAAATTGCCTAGAGAGGGTAGATAATCACTGGGGAGTTGCCTGAGTCACAATGAAATTAAATAACTTGCCCAGAGTCACAAAGCTAAGTTGATAGCAAGGCAGAATTTGAACCCAGATCTTCCTCACCCCAAATCCAACCTTAGCCAAGTTCTTTCCTTACCTCAAGGTGATACTTTGTCCCTAATTCTACAATATAGCAATTAGCTTAGTTTAGGGAAAGTTGGGGTGGGAGTAAGTGAAAAGGGAAGAAAGGAATGTGCAGAATCAACTCAAATTCACACAAAGCCCTAACTGACCGCTAGGTCCCTCCGGTCACTCCCTCCCTTCGTCCCCTCCCCTCCTTCCTTCCAGCCCCACAGAAGGCCCATCCAAAGAACCTACCTGTGAATTTCCATCAGGATTACCCACAGAAACTTAGGCCCATTAAGTGTGCTAAACTTTGGAAATAAGAGTTAGCCTGAGGCCATACTACTTTACAATCATATTAGCAAGTAATCAAGTTTAACCAAGACAGGCAATCCCTTTTCCCCCACTCTCCCTTCAACTTTTCAATGGAATGTACAAATTTATGTTCCCTAAAGTAAGAGAGACAGCAGTCTCTCTCACAAAGTACTATGTGTAGTGGTCATGAGTTATGAACTTTTAAGCATGAATTAAAAGTTGCTGGAAAAATAAGAGGTGAAACTTACTAATAGTTGTTTGGTGAAAGAGGGGAGAAAAAAACCCAAAGTATTTACAATTCACCGCAGCTCTGTAAGGTACAGCTGGGGAGCGGGTGATTAAAAAAAAAGTCCCCTGACAAATTGTAGCAAAGGGTGATGATTACACCTAGTCAATTGTTACATAATTACTTACTAGCAGCTGCTCCTTCGAATCATACACAAACATATATGACTACAAAATGGCATTAGATCCCTTACTATTTTCGGTGGCACCCAAAGGGGGGGGGCAAGATTTTACCCTTTCATTTTTAGAGAAAGCAGATATGGAAATAAAATTTAAAATACTTACTGACCATTCCATTACATCCAACTCAAGACTTACCTGCGCTAACATGGTTCAATTTACATATGCAAATCAGCTGTCAATTAAGCCAATCACCTCTACACACAAAAATCAAGGTTTCTCTCTAAATATTCCTTTTGGAGGATGGGGGACGAAAAAAGATGGCTTTTAGGATATCCTTCCCACTTCGAAGTTTATGCCTCTCCTAAAAGCTGTTAGCATTGTAAAACGTCAGGATATATTAGGCAGGCGGGAAAAAAAGAAGGGGTTTTATTCGCTTCTCTGCTTCTAGCGCAAAATGCAAGTCTCAATATTGGATGCCCTGAATTGCATTCCAACATTTTTCAAAAGTTTATGAGGATTCACTAAAAAGGCAGGGGAGAAAGAGATAGTGAAAAGGAAGTCGGAGAGGGGAGGCTGGGAGCAAATTAAACAGGAGAAAATCCCCAGAAGCGGTGGAAGGCCCAGGGAGAGGGGGGAGGCGACCACATGCAGATGACTAGCTTCACAGTTCAATGCTCTCACTGACAGCAACCCTAAGCCGGCGACTCGGCCTCCCCGTGCCCCCCACCTGGCGCTGGCATGGGTCCTGGCACCTTGCACCAGCCTCCACCCCCTGGCAAGCCTTCCCCACCCGGCACACTCTCCATTCTGCCCCCTCCCCCTCCCTTCACTACTTCGGATGCCCGCTGGGCAAACTTGGCCCCAGGTCAGCGCTGCAGAGCCCTGGCATGGGGGGGGAGGGGGGTCAGCACTGGAAAGGTAAGGGGGGCGGCGGCAGCCGCGCTTACCTCCTTCTGCTTTGGGTCCTGGGGGTAGACGTCAGGCGGCCCGAGCCGGGGTCGTTTCAGAGGTCTCTGCTCATAACTGAGAAGCCCGAAGGCGGCCATGATCTCTCATGTTAACCGGAGAAATGAATGAGAGTTGGAGATGGAGCAGCTGCCTCTGAGCACCAGGGAGCAGCACTTTGCAGACAGACTCCCTCCTCTCTCCCTCCCTCTCTCCTCCTCTCCTCTCTCTCTCCCTCTCGCTGCAGGAATGGGCAGGTTGGATGCTGCTGCCGCCGCTGCTGCTACCGCCTGAAACAGACAGACACCCACAGCAATTGAGCAGCCCGCCGCACGCACTGCCCCCAACGCTCCCGCCGCCCCCCCCACCCCCGCCAGCCTCGCCCCCTCTCCAGCCCCCTGCTATTGGAGAAGGGGTCCAGATCTCGGCCCGCTGCTTATACCCCCTTCCTCCTCTTACCTCCTGAAGGGGGCCGGGCTGGAGGAAGCAGGGGACTTCGCTGACCCCTGGAAGACCCCAGACCAGCCTGGCCCAGCTCAGGGCTGGGGAGGGAGAAAAAATTTTAAAAAAACTTTTCTTTGCAGCTGAGCCTCGAGCTGAAGTATTGGTGGGGCGCCTACAGCTCTGGGCAGAGTAGGGGGCTGCCGCCGCCGCCGCCGCCGCTGCCGCTGCCGCTGCTGCTGCGGGGAGCAGCCCTGCCCTGCCCTGCCCTCCCCTCTAGGCACTGCCCCAGCTCCCAGCTCCCAGTGAGCATCGCCGGCTCTCCCCACCGCTCCCCGCTGGGGCCCTGGATGCTGTCACCTGGACACCGACCTGGACAGTGCGGAGGCCCGCAGGGGGCGGGAGATGGAGAAGGAGGAGGAAGAACGGGGCGGGGGGGGGGGCAGAGGGATGCTCGGCTGCAGGGAAGCCTGCTGGTCCCTCTAAGACGCCTGCGAGCCTCCTTCCCGCAGGAGCATCCGAGCCCGCCGCTGCCGGGGACAGAAGGAAAGGAGCTGGGAGGAGAGGAGAGGAGCGGACCGCGGTTCCGCCGAGCGGCCGCCGCGGCAGAATGCACGGGGGAGTTCTCGCGGGGGCCTAGAGCCGGCTTAACCCTTTCGGCGCCCCTCCAGGGGCTCACTGGGCACAGGCGGGGTCGGGGGGGGAGGAGGAGGAGGAGGAGGTGGTGGAGGAGGAGCTGCGATCAGTGCCGGGTGAAGCCTGCAGGCTTCCCTAGTCGTGCCCCCCCACCGCACCCTCCCCGCTCCATTCTCCTCCTTTCACACTCCACCCCCCCCCCCGCCCCGGTTGCCGCAGCTCCTCACCTTCACCCCCTCCTCCTCCTCCTCCTCCTTCTCCTTCTTCTCCTTCTCCACCTACCCGGCAACAGTTTACCTGTTGGTCACTGGCTACAAGGAAGGGGCCAGTGGCAGTGGCCGTGGCCGTGGCGGCGGCCCCCCGGCTGCCGCAACCACCATTGCAGCACCCCCGCTGGACCCCGGGCGCTCGCCTGATGCGTACGAGACGCCGGAAACTTTGCCCATCGCCTGGAAGCTGCAGGCGGGGAGGCAGCGGGCAGTGCACCCACGCTGCCGGCGGCTCCCTACCCCCCACGGCCCCGTAACGAGCCAAAGCGGCCGGCTTGCGCCCCAAAAGCAGCTCGGGCTTACTGAGCATGCCCAGCTCTCCGGCTGCTAGAGCCGCCGAGGAGTTTCTCAGCGCGGGGAGCTCACTTTGGACTCCATTTCTCCGGGTTTTCGCGGCAGCAGAAGAGAGGGAAGAGGGAGAGGGGCAGAGCATTGGGTCCAGCCCAGGCGTTGAACCTGAACGTGGAGAGGGAGAGGGAGAGGGAGGAGCACTGGGGAGAAGACGAGGTCACCACCAGCACCTATCTCATGGTCTCTTTCCCTATACTATCCCCTTTGCCAATGGGAGACTGGGTTTTAGTTCCTAGGTTATCCTATCTCACCTAGGCTAGCCACCCTTCCCCTAGGATATCACCTTAGAAAGGTGTTGGGGGGAGGGGAGTGGTATGTGAAATGGTCCTGCAGTCCCCACCCGGTTGCCTAGAAATGAATGCACAGCAGAGCCTGAAGCAGGTTTGGGGTCTGCATCTTGTTCAGAGGTGGCCCTAAACTCCTCCTGGGGAATACATCGCAACAGTAGTATTTCATGTTTCTGAAAAAAAGAAGGGCACAGCCACAAAGGCTCAGAGGACTAGGGTTCAAACCAAGCTTGACTACCTGTGACCTTGGGCAAGTCATTCAATCGCTCTCTGCCTCAGTTATCTCATCTGTAAAATCAGAGAGCTGAACTCAAGAACCTCTGTGATCCCTTCTGCCTTTAAATCCACGTTCCTATGATGTGACCAATGACTCCCTGATTTCAAGGGTAAGAACAGGGGGGCCTCGAGGGAGCAGAGGCAACATGAGTATGACAATATAGAAAAGCTTCACTCTCTCCACCCTCCTATTCCTCATCCATTACCGTCATCAGTGCAGACCAGTCCATGGTTTCAAACCTCATTTTCAGTAAAGGCAACTCAGGAAGGATTCTGAGTTGTAAGGGGGCCTTAGGGATCCTTCAGCCCAGCCACCTCGTGTTAGAGATGAGGAAACTGACAAGGCCATGGTCGTTTTCCCACCATAAGTGCTCTTGGATGCCCTCATTTATACCGTTTCTGCACAAATCATCATTGGTCTTATTAAGTATGCTGCAACCTGTTTATGGCCACCACCCACCTTTTCTATTTGTCTTTGGGTCCCTTGCCACTTGGATGTTTTTCAGATAAATCTACAACTATTTATTAAGCTCCTACAGTGTTCCAGGTATAGTGCTAAACCCCTGAGATTTAAAAAAAACAAAAGCATCAACAATCCCTGTTCTCAAGGAGCTTACATTCTGGGATCCTGTAGATAGCCTCTGTGTGTGTGTGTGTGTGTGTGTGTGTGTGTGTGTGTACACACAGAGTTATCCGTTCCACATCAAGGGGGTTAAGGTGCCATTTGGAGAATCTGGTGAAAAAAAAAATTTGGCCCTCCCTTCACACCAGAGAGGAAATCTGAATTATTATGATATTAAAAGATAAAATATGTTGCTATTATACAATACATATATTTTATGCATTTCTGAGTTTGTAAACTTTTTCTGTCTTCTGCTGGCCTTCGTGTGTGGTCCTCAGCATCTACAAAACTAAAAAAATTCTCATTTAATTTCTTATGTTGGCCTCTTAATATCAAAAGGAGTGAGGTGATAGCTGTGTGTGTATACACACATATCTATGTATGTATACATATATACTACATACATATACATATATAGGTTTATGCAAGATTACCTTGGGGGAGGGGGAAATGTTAACAGCTATAGAGACTAGGAAAGGCATCTTAATACTAGAAGGACCAGGAGGGTCAATTGATGCAAAAATTTTATAAAAATTTTCATTTTATCTCTATTTTCTCTATACTGTGGGAGGAAGGGGGGTAGGAGATGCACTCTATCAATGGACCCATCTGGTTTGTCTCCTGAAGGAAACCAGAGGCTCCAAGAGGAAGAGGTATAGAATAAGTGCATTCTAGGGAGGGGGATGACCCACAAAGGCCAGAGATGGGGGATTTTGTGAGAGAGACAGCAGAAGTCCAGCTAGGCTTGATCCTAGAGTGGAGTGGAATACTGTGTCATAAGGCTAGAACATTATCAAGCCAGGTTAAGAGCTCCAATGCCCGAAAGGAGTTTACATTTGATTCCAGAGGTGAAAGAAAGCCACTAGAATTCACTGAGATTATGGTATTCCATAATTGCATCTCGTGTTGAAAAAGAGATTGACTTTTGGGACAGAATACAGTATGGAATCATTGAAATCATTGTGTAATTTGCTCAATTGAAGCAAGGCTGATTTCTTTCTGCTCAGCTCTGGCTACAGTTTATTGTCCAGCTGCTGGACCTAAGGTGACACAATGGGAAAAGCCCAGACTCTGCATTGAGAGATCATTGTTCAGTTGTGTCTGATTCCTTGTGACCCCATTTTCTTGGCAAAGATACTGAAGTGGTTTGCCGTTTCCTTCTCTAGCTCATTTTACAAATAAGGAAACGGAGGCAAATGGAGCTAAGTGACTTACCCAGGGTCACACAGCTAGGAAGTGTGTGAGGCCAAATTTGAATTCAGGTCTTCCTGACTCCAGGCCTGGTATTCTGTCTACTATGCCAACTAGCTGTCCAGTCAGGGGACTTGGGTTCAAATCCTTATACATACTCCATCTGTATAAGACAGTTAACACCCCTGGACCTTAGTTTCTTCATCTGTAAAATAAGGGGTCTGACCAGATAGTTTTTGTAATCATTTCCAGCTATAGATCTGCCATATGATCCATTGTACTGATCATGCATCCAGCTGCAACAGCCCCCAACTCTCCTGATTGGTGCATGCCTCATGGGGCCCGTTATATCTCAACCCCTCCTCCAGCCACACTTGACCATCTTTGGTACAGCCATCTTGTTACTGCCCATAGCTTCTATCTGTAGTCCCCCCTCTTCCTTTCCACTTCTGGAACCATGCTAAAAATCAATACTGCAATTGCTCCTGAAAAGGGTAGCAGAGTATTCCCAACCTAGTAAGTTGCACACTCCTATTTGCACAGTCTTCCCTAATGAAAAGGTAAGCTCCTCTGGGAGGGAAGATTGTCTTCACTTTTCTGCTTGTACCCAGTATTTGGCACTTAGCAAGCACTTACAAAATGTTTTTTCATTCATTCATTTTGAGTGACTGTGAACCTCAAGAGAAGGCTTCAAGATTAATCTTTTAAGGCTCCAAGATATTTCATCAATGTGGACACTCCCTCTACTAATGCAGATTACAACCATTAGTATGAATTAGTGAATTTTTGTGCTGTGGTAGAAAAATTCCTCACCCAAACTAACTTGATGCCCCTCCAAACTTAGCCAGTCTGCTGTTATATCCATGAAGCCACAAGAATTCAGAGGAAGATCTTAGTAGATGTTCAGACTTTTCACCTCTGTTTAATTTCATGAGCAAGACTGCTAGATGGCAGAGTGAATAAAGTGCTGGACTTGGAGGCAAGAAGCCCTGAATTCCAATCCTGCCTCAAACATTTACTAACTATATGACCATGGGCAAGTC